TCTGTTTTAATATACTTTAAAATATGATCTGTTTCTGTGATGCAAAGCTGAATATTCATCAGTCATTACTCCAGTCTTCAGTGTCACATGATCCTTCAGAAATCAGTATAATATTAATATTCTTTCTTTCTTTTGAAAGAAATGTATACTTCTATTCAGCAAGGATATGTTAAATTGATAAAAAAAAAGTGATAGTAAATATATATTGTATATTGTTAGAAAATTCTTCTATTTTGAATAAATGTTGTTCTTTTTAATTTTTTTATTCATCAATGAAACCTTGAAAAATATAACAGGTTCCAAAAAAAAAATCCAAAAATTTTATTTTTAAAATTTGTATTAGTTTGCATGCATGTCATCTTATGACCACACAAAATGTTTATATTTATATTTATGTTTAGACACCTTTTCTATACATTTCCCCAAATTTACAATTAATTCCCATAAATTCCTGTTAAATTTCCAACTTGGAATATTTCCAAAATTCCCCAGATTAAGTTCCCATGGAAAGTTCTCGGAAATTTTCCACCCCTTTGCAACCCTAGCTGTAAACAATTTTTGCTTCTCTCCAAAGAGATGTCTTTTTTTATTGGTTGAAAAAGCTTATTATTCAATCTGTTATTTAGTGGGAGGGAAAATGGCAGGGAGAAGAGGCGAGAATGGGATTGGGAAATGTCACCAACTTTGAACTTGCATCACCCCCAGCAGAGCTTAGTGTGTCAGAGTGTGTATGTTAACATCTAGACCACGCTCTCACAATTAATTATTTTCTGAAGGGCTGCTCCACAAAGCCCGCCAATGTCTATAATGAAAGTTATTCAGCACTTTAAAAAGACTAAACAACTTTTTATTTTGATTAAATACACTACATAATGCTGTCATTCTCCACTTAATAATAACAGGCCAGAGTCTGTTAATGTTTTTACATCAGTAGTGACCCAAAAACCTCTGCTGCAAGCTCGCAGACACTCACACAAACATAGAAAAACTGGTCATAGCTATAAAAATATTTCCGGAGAACGGGGCAAATATACAGTAAGTACTACACTTGAACGTATTAATGCCTATTTCTGTCTGTGAGAAGTGAGGGTCGAGAGAACTCCCACAACCTTTCTCTGGATATTTACTTATCAGTGCACTTGAGCAATGCTTTCAGCCTTTTCAGTGAAAAAAACAAACAAAAGAATAGAATAGAATAGATGTATATCCTGTACAGAACCAAAATAAAGATGAAAAAATTTGTAGATGATTGTATACTGAGGGTAAACACTGCACTATACATTGCATTAAATATGAATTATTACGGCAACATTTGCTTCATCTTTAAAAATACATTTTTTAATAATAATAATAATACAAATCTACATCTAAAGTAGTACATTTGCCAAATACTATGTTGTTGTGTACAATATTATGTACTCACAGAAAATGTATTACTTGTACTTATTATGCATAATGTGGGTCCCCCCTCATATGACCAGCCACACAGTACTCGAGTTATACTCTTTTGCCTATGGCTTTGCTACAGTGACATCCAATAACCAAAAACATTTTCCTTTCGTGTAATGCTTCAATTATATGTATTCACACGTATATGTGTCAGTATAAATACCAAGATGAACATTAAAAAATCATTACTAAACTGAAAATTATGGTATAATTAACTCATGTTGTTTCAACCGCATTTGACTTTCTTTCTTTCACAGAACAGAAAATAGATATTTAACAAAATGTTCGCTTCGTGCACTTTTACTAAGCGGTTTAGACATCATGCCAAAGACATGATCCTTTTCATTTATCTGAAAGTTACTTAAAAATACACAAGGCAGGTCATACAAAAAAAAAGTAAAAGTAAAATTGAACGTAATTTAGATTACTTTAATCGAGCCGATTGATCTCAATCTGAATGAAATTTTGATCGGATTTAAAGGAGTGGTTTATTCCTTTTCTAATACGATCAAGAGTGCATGTAAAGACTCGATCAGATTGAAAACCGAAACTGAAAGGACTGCGCATGTGCAATGATGTAGAGATAGGGTAATGACATATGACTCACAGAACGAGCTGTTCTTTCAATTGAATAAAGAGTTGTACTGTCATTATAAAACTCTCCTTTCACACAGAGTCTGTGAAGTGGAGCAGGAGAATGTTCCACCAGTCCTTGTTTCGGATTCTCATCCACAGATGACTGGTTTGGGCACGGGGTGATAAATACAGTATAAGCAGCATGGCACAGCGGTTTATATGTAAAAGACTATTTATCCAGAAATGGATAAATATTAATTCTGCTGTATGAAACAAATAAAGAAACAGTGTAGGAGAATGGTTATTATGTGCAAACAGTGGGAAATTCTATATTTGTGCAGTGTGCGCATGTCAAAAAAATCAATTCTGATTTTGAAGTTCATGAAAACACTACATTCAGATTCATGAATCGAATGAATTCAGTCCGATTGAAACAAAATTGTGAATGTAAACACAGCCAATGTGGAGTAAACTAATATATGGAAAGGAGTAGCTTGGACATTCTTCTAAATATCTTCTTTTGTGTTCTACAAAAGAAAGTAAGTCATACAGGTTTGTAAGAACATGATGCACACTTTTAAATGCGAAGTATGCATAACAGATCCGATTGTACTTTCCTGAGCAGTTGAACGCTTTAACCCACTGGAAGGAATGTGGCGGCCGTGTCCCCCCATGCGCACTGCCAGAGAGCAGCCAGGCTGTGCTGTATACTTAGGACGCATCTATGTGGCAGGCGGCAGAGATGAACTGCGTTTGGAGCTCAGCACGGCAGAGAAGTTTGACCCTGACAACCAGAAGTGGACCCCTGTCAAACCAATGGGACACAAACGCTTTCAAGTGAGCCTATTCTACCCACAGCAACCTGTTTTCTATTCTCCGATGCCTATTGACATTTTAGTACACACCTATTGACTTTTTTGACTTTCATCCTAAAGTACATCACAGCAACAGCTGACACTTTATTGACAATATAGTCTTGCCTCTTGGCTGACTGAGTAAAATGAGGTTACAGTTCTTAGTGTTTTGTTCCATCTCTTGTCATGTTTACGGTTTGGAGGTTTCCCTGACTGTGTTTGGTGGGATACTGCTGGCAGATGGGATATCAACTCTTACATCGGTTGAGGCTTATAACCCAGACTCAAACACTTGGAGGTGTGAACTATACTCTTACACATCCATCAAGTCTATTCTTCTCTTCCTTAGAAAACATTTCTTCTCTTTCTTCTCTTGACAGACACTTTGGATGTATGAAGACTAAACACCCAGGCGGTGGAGTTGTCTTGCTAAAAACACACTAAATTTGTGCTTTGTTTGCTAAACTCTTAGTTTGCTCTCTAAGTGAAATGTATTTGATAGATCTGTGATGTAATAAAATGTGCTATAGTAGTTTTATGATTGGTGGAGCTAATATGTTAGGTTAGAGGTGAGTAATGAAAATACGAAAGCAGAAAAATAATTTAATATCAACGATCCATTACATTATATGGGTCTCTCTGGGAAGGTTTTATTTATAGCCAGAAAGACTGGCGTGGAAAATGAGTGCGCACTTATTGAAAGTGCCTTGTTATGGACACTTACTAATGGACAGTCCCCCTGGAGCAATCTGGAGTTACAAGCATTGGTCAATGACACTGTAATGAAAGCAGATTCTAGTGCTTCTTCATTTCACCTCTTTCAGAGTATAAACCTAAGGCCTTTGGGTTTCCCAGATCTCAGTCGTACAACCAGCCTATATATGTTTCAACATCTTCCTCATGCAAGAACTAGACACAACCCTTAACAAAGCACAAAGGTTTTAAGCATGAGATTGTGTAAAAAAAAAAATTCCATACAGACACAATTGTTTCTATTCTCAAATGTGTATTTTGGTCCCAGACTCTTAATTTGACCCTCTTTATTTATCTGAATGTTATTCAAAAATACACGAGGCGGTTATAGAAAATTTATGTAAAACACCTTTTGTGTGAATAGCTTATACATTTCTGAATTAAAAGTATTTTTTGATATTTTGGTGGGATTTAAGTAAAAATGATTGTGTCAGACAGTACAAACCTTTAGAAGACTGTAATTCCTGGAAAAAAATCCTATGCATATGCAGTTTGGCATAATCTTTTATTAATCATTTTTAATAATCATATTACAAATTTTATTAATAAATCTTATTTTAAAAAACAGCGAATATGTCAAAGTCAGATAATCAGTTCCAGCAATAACCAATATTCAGGAAGACATTTGGCTATGTGAGAATAGAATAGAATAGAATAGAATAGAATAGAATAGAATAGAACAGAACAGAATAGAATAGAATAGAATTACATTCTAGGTCATATAGAGCAACCCTAAAAAAATCCACAATATTTGTATGTACGACTGAATGAATGAATGAATAAATAAATATTTTGTGTATTCAAGGTCCATGAGAATTTCAAGATTAACATCCTTATTACTTTAACCTTTAAGGATGATGTAATTGGCTCATTTTATTTTTTATTACCTTATTAATTTAGCATTGAAACAAAGGAATATTGTATTTCTTACGTGAATATAGTCCTATTCTCAGTGGATGTCAATATGACATGATTTGTTGATTCTTGATCTATGTTTGTTTTTTATGTCAGTTTTTTGGTAAAGAGTTACTACGATTGTTACTATCATAATAGCAAAAATTACTCTCTACTTCTGCGTGAATGGTTTTATGGGAAAGAGAACGAGTTCCTTGCCTTTGTACATGACTGACATTAAACCAGCCAATAAAATTTATTACACCTAACACTTAATGACCTAATCAAGGTCTTTATTTTGACTGGTTAGCAGCTCACTGTAAGCAAGCACATAGCATGAAATGATTGACGTTGATGTGAATGTTTATGGTCCACAGTTTAATTTAATTTGGATTGCACGCGCGTAGCTGTCTCTTTAGTCATGTCCGTGTTCTCGAGGATTTCAGGTGGTCCAGGAGATGGCGATGTAAGCGTTGAAGGAGAGAGAAGAGAGGCTGTACGGATGACTTAGTGGCTTTACCTAACAGATGCAGAGGTGACAGCGTCTCAAACATTTCCCTGCTGCTCTACATCTCTTCTGACGCGCAGCAGTTGCCGTTTTCTTCTCGTCAAACAAGGGCTCTTTGGGCTCACTGGATACACAGAGACTGAACATGTGAATTTAATGTGGACAACATATTATCATTCTTTAATTAATGACCAACATCACCAGTATCTCATGGATGCAAAGTTGAATTGCACGCGACAAACAGAAACAGAGATGTTGAAGGTACCGAGTATTGCACTCAGCGGTGCTCTTCTGTAAGAGGAGGGTTTAATCAGAGTCGTTATCCGCCCCTTTAATGCAAGTGTCCATGGAGGACGGATCTATCTGGAGGACATTACCATCGGAAGTCCTTCACGGACACTTCGCAGTGGCTTCTGTTAAAAATGTGCGGCGTTTGGGTCGCCAGTAACACGGTTATTTACAATGATGGGACCGCGCAGCCTGTCTCAGGCAGGTGAGAACATCATGTCATGTCACGAATGACTAATTCGTGTTCGTGTTCGTGTTTTGTACTTTTTACATTTATCATATTGTTTTGTGAAGATGGCATTGCTTTTGGGCATGAGTAGCCTATTAGTGTGTATTTGCTAGTGGAAATAATACATTAACAGCAACACTTCTGATTTACAATTGTTTTATATTTGAATTATTTTTGAAAACGTATTTAAAAAAAAAGAGAGAAAGAAATCCAAACAACACTATAAAAAGTGTAAAAATGTAGTTGTCACCTTAGGTATAGGCTAAAGTAGAGCTCATACTGACTTGATAGATAGATAGATAGATCGATAGATAGATAAATTGCCATTTCAATTTTATTATATCCATAATACAAATGCCATTAACATACGACTAATCAACATTATTTCACTAGTATTAATGTTGTTATTGTTACAGCTTAACAAATTGCAGCTGACCTTGCTAGCTAGCTAAACTATTGTAATAATGTCATTCCACTATTGCACAGTGTTGCCGCTTGGCAACACAAACATTTGAATGATTTACCAAAAACGAATTTTATAAAAACTTTTTTGAGAGGTGAATATGTCATCATAACATCATAACAGTGATGTTTTAGATTTTTTTGTAGAAGTGACACGGACTGGTCCTTGTTTGTTACTGACGTTTTAGTTTGCTTTCAGCAACTACCGACAAGAGACGGCAGTCTGTCAGAAATCTCGCCACAGAAAAAAAATGCATGTCATGTGACTTAATCAAAGCACATCATTGGCTAAACTAAGGTCTTCTCTTTCCAACAAAAACAACGAGAATGTTCTCTTAAAGAGACAGTGGCAAGGAAATGAACACAAAGAGTATGTTGCTATATGGCTACACCATGCGGTAGAGGGTTAAGGAACTATTTGTACCTGATTTGACCCAGAAAATACTGTAATATATTTGTGATTTGTTATGTAGTGTAGTCAGATTCATTCAATTATTATTATTTTTCTATTTATTTACAAAAACCAATTAGTTGAGATGTTACTTTATGAACTACATATTATTGGTTCCTTGTCAAAACATTCATACTGTGTCTGCAAGTGCACACAGATGCAGTTTCTTGTGTCAATGCCATTTTCTCCCTAAGGTATGCCCATTTTTTTATATCCTCAACATTGTTCTTTTTATTAGCGTCTGAGCACTGTATATATAACCCTTGAGCAAAAGCACATTTTAGTCTGAGTTTTATGCACTGTATGTAATTCATTGTACCCCTTGGCCAACCAAATCACCCTCCACCCACTTATCAACGATTTGCACACTAATGTAGGCGCTCACTACTGTCATTACACACTCATGTATCCCTGAGAGCGCTAACAGAAACCATACAGGGAACATTCTAGATGATGGTTTTCACAGTGTGCAAAATGTGACAAGAATGACATAAAAGGTGAACGTCAGTCTGTGGATTGTAGTTCCTCAAGGGTATAATTATAGCCAAGGGTACTGGTGAACTATCTGTGAAAGATGCCTTGTTATTGGATAACTGTTAGATAGAGACAGTTTAAGCTTTCTAGCTTGGAAGATATTTATACAGTTACAGGCCAAATGAGTAAGCCTACAATAATGTATTCTTTCTGTAACCCTGCATTAGCCTATAACAACATGGATTAATTTTATATGCTTACATTATTGGTGTTGTTCATGCATGTGACCATAATGTTTAGCAATACTCCTTCCCCTTTCTCTCCATATTGTCAGAGCCAAGCATGACTCCGCCACGACGCTCATCCACTGCTGTTGACAGGTAAACCAAACCTCGCAAACATACAAAGTTATAAATAAAAGATTATTGGAATACATTTTACAAGAAAACACTATTTTTTTAACTCCGAAATTTCACAGTTAATTCAGTGTGTTGCTGTTTATTTGTAATTGTTTGTTACATTTTCTAGAGTAAAACTAGTTTCTACAACCTTTTTTTACAGTGTAGACTTATAATTATGCTAATCATGCAAATTGTGTCCAAACTACAAGTGTGTCCTACAAGTGCTTAGCTGCAGTCCTGACACAATTCATGAATAATATATATTTTGTGTATACATGCATAATGCATGTTATGTGATTGTATTTACTGTAAGATTTATGTCTGTTTCTTCAGGTTGCCTACGGAGACTGTTCAGAGGAATAACAGCAGTAATACTGGTGTTATTCTGGACATTTCCACCCTGAAAATGGCCGATGTGGACTCTGAGGTCCCTCCTCTACCTCCACGATACCGCTTTCGAGATCTGCTGCTCGGGGATCAATCTTTTAATTAATGACCAACATCACCAGTATCTCATGGATGCAAAGTTGAATTGCACGCGACAAACAGAAACAGAGATGTTGAAGGTACCGAGTATTGCACTCAGCGGTGCTCTTCTGTAAGAGGAGGGTTTAATCAGAGTCGTTATCCGCCCCTTTAATGCAAGTGTCCATGGAGGACGGATCTATCTGGAGGACATTACCATCGGAAGTCCTTCACGGACACTTCGCAGTGGCTTCTGTTAAAAATGTGCGGCGTTTGGGTCGCCAGTAACACGGTTATTTACAATGATGGGACCGCGCAGCCTGTCTCAGGCAGGTGAGAACATCATGTCATGTCACGAATGACTAATTCGTGTTCGTGTTCGTGTTTTGTACTTTTTACATTTATCATATTGTTTTGTGAAGATGGCATTGCTTTTGGGCATGAGTAGCCTATTAGTGTGTATTTGCTAGTGGAAATAATACATTAACAGCAACACTTCTGATTTACAATTGTTTTATATTTGAATTATTTTTGAAAACGTATTTAAAAAAAAGAGAGAAAGAAATCCAAACAACACTATAAAAAGTGTAAAAATGTAGTTGTCACCTTAGGTATAGGCTAAAGTAGAGCTCATACTGACTTGATAGATAGATAGATAGATCGATAGATAGATAGATAGATAGATAGATAGAGTATTGGTGTTCTTGTTCTTGTTTTAACTATGTGCCTGATAACTGATATGCAGAACCGATTTTCATTCTCTTAATTTTAGCATTTTACGTAACAACAACAACAACCATTATTATTATTATTATTATTATTATTGATGGTGGTATTAATAATATTTGTGCTAATTATGCAGTGTTGGTTTTATATGCAAATATTTTCATTAAATGCTATTTATTGTCATTTTTGTTAATGAGTTGTATAATTTATTGAATGAGCTATGCATTTCTCACTTCAGAATAAATTACTGTTATGTAAAAAGTGAGTAATTATCCAAACATTTTGAATATTACCTTTGAATGTTACCTTTGAATATCTTTGTTGGATGTTACTCTGCATAGCTCCACCAAATGGTTCTAGTTATTTCTAGACCGAATAGTAAACATCTAGTTCCTAATTAAGTGTGAATATCGGTAAAAAATATTGAAATGATTATTGGTTTAACACTTAACCCTCTACCGCACGCATTATGATAGACCTATAGCATGCAAATTGTGTCCAAACTACAAGTGTGTCCTACAAGTGCTTAGCTGCAGTCCTGACACAATTCATGAATAATATATATTTTGTGTATACATGCATAATGCATGTTATGTGATTGTATTTACTGTAAGATTTATGTCTGTTTCTTCAGGTTGCCTACGGAGACTGTTCAGAGGAATAACAGCAGTAATACTGGTGTTATTCTGGACATTTCCACCCTGAAAATGGCCGATGTGGACTCTGAGGTCCCTCCTCTACCTCCACGATACCGCTTTCGAGATCTGCTGCTCGGGGATCAATCTTTTCAGAATGATGACAGGTAACTTCCTACTGTGTGTCCTCAGCGGGTCACTCTCATAAAGCATTCATAAACACTGGCACTGCAGTCCACTTGTAGGGTTTTTCTTGACATTACTTTTGAACTAAGAGCTGAATAATTAAAATAAAGATATTGCAGCACTGTAAAATGTATAACTGCCAGTTATTATCGCTCCGTAAGAAGTAAAAACATAAAACTAACTAATTTGACCTCTACAGTCTTAAAAATAAAGGTTACTTATTGGCATCTATGGTTCCATGAACACCCATGGAACCTTTCCATTCCATAAAGGGTTCTTTATATCTTTAGATTATTTAAAAAAAGGTTTTTAAGAACGTTCTTTAGGAATTTTCTTAGAGCGTACAATCTACCTTTGTTGATGTAAGCCAATGTGAATCTGTTAAGCTTCAAAGATCACAAAAACTATTTCAAAGCAATAGTTGTTTTTATGTGTACAATGTTTTTAATGAGGACAAAATTACTAAGTGCACATTTAAATTATAAATGTAATTAATTTGTGGCTTAAATTAAACTAGAAATGAATGAATAAAAAAAATAAAAAAATATTGTTTCAATAAATCTTTGCTACCACATGCAGCACATTTCTGTTACTTGACAAAACATTTATTTCATTGTAGAAAAGAGACCACATTTCACAATTTGTTTCATAATTAAGCATTTCAGAATAAGCATGCGATGCAATCAAAGCATTTCAGAGCAAGTATGCAATCAAATCAGTGGACGGGAACTAACTGTTATATAATATCATACATAAAATGCAACTTGCCAAATTGTTTATGTACACACGATGTGTGTGTTCTGTGTTTGCTTTATGGAGATATACTGTATATGTACACTGTATACGTAAACGTTGTGCTTGTGTAAGAATAAGATGAAGTGTGTGTGTTGGGTTATAGGGAGCTGTCCTTCACTGTGGCGCTGAAGTTAAATAGAGGCTGAAATGCAGGAGTCATTGTAGCTTATTTAAGTAGCTGTGAGAGGTGAAATTCAGGGCAACCTTTACATTTTCAAGAAAACTTTATCATCCTTGGGCTTTGAGTGGGATTTCTATTTCTGTGAATGCTGTTTTACAAGGGTTTACACAAGAAATACATTATTTCTGCTTCATTTAGCTAACAATAACAGACATCATGGCTGCTCTCAGTCTGCTGTGGTTTTCTTTGTGTATTCCGTATTGCCACAGTATCGGTTTTCCCACTGGTGAGGGACATTTGTGCTCTATTACCCTGCTGTGGCGTAAGCCACAAATCATTGATCTGTTTATTTGAAATCCATCTGCTTTTGTTCTTCTATTACTCCTCTTTTCTGTGGCATATCTCTAGCCAAAGCAGGTAGTCACAAGATTTACTGGTTTGGTTTATTTGCCTTGCAGTGCTTATGGCAACTATTGCACACTATTAATTAAGCTCTCTCTGGCAGGTTGTAAGTGGTCCATATATCTCAGGGGAGTCTGTGTAATGAATCATCCACTGAAGGCGAGAGTAGTGAAGAACCCAAGTGCAGCTTTATTTACAGTGATCCAGACATAATCCGAGAATTGACTTGACATGAACAGACTTGACTTGACATGAACAGACTTGACTTGACTTGACTAGGCATGAACAGACTTGACGAGGTATGAACAGACTTGACATGAACAGACTTGGCATGAACAGACTAGACTCACCAACAGCAGAGTTACAACTTCAATACATCATTTAGCAGACGCTTTTATCCAAAGCGACTTACAATTGGGGGATACATAAAGCGATTCTTCTTAAAGAGGCAAACAGACACAGGAAGTGGTTGTAATACCAAGTTCTTAGACATTGTTCAAATAAGTACAAGCTAGAAAGAGAAGGAATAAATAAAGAGAGAGATTTTTTTTTTTTGTAATTTTTTTTTTTTTATTTTGAAGTCAAGTAGCTTCGAAAGAGATGGGTTTTCAGCTGTCGCTTGAAAATTGTCAGGGATTCAGC